ATTTAATAAAGATTTGAAATTGTAAAAATGTTAAAGTTCTAAATAAATGGGGTAACAGTCACAGACAGAAGGTTCAATATATTAAAAATACCAGTCATTCTCAAACTGAACTAGGAGTTCAATGCCGTTTCAATCAAGATTCTAATAGGTGGTTTTAAAATTTCTATTGAAAAGCACAGGACCATGAACTGCTAACATTTCTCTTAAGGAAGAAGGAAAGAACTGCCTCCCCCCTAAAGAATCACTAAGATAGTGGGTTTCTATTTATTAGAAACAAATAATGAGGGAGCAAAGAGCCCAGTAACACATCCCTCGGCATACTCAAATTAACACATTGATAGAGCTAGAATTACAAACCACCAAGGAAAGAATGAGTTTTTAACAAGTAGAGCTTAGACAATTTAATATTTCAAATTAAATCTGGTCTGCAACTCAGAGCACAAAAATTAACATCAAGTAAATTAAAGACTTAAAAGACTTCAACTTTAGGATAGGTGTTGCGCCTTGTGCTAGTGAGCCTGGGGTGGGGGTGGGGAGTGGGGTGTGTGTGTGTGTGCGCGCGTGTATGTGTGTGTTTGTGTGTGTGTACGCACAGGGGGTGGGGTGAGGACAGAAGTCTGACCAACCAGACCACCACAGAAAATCCAAAAGAAATTTTTAAAATTGGCTGGGTGTGGTGGTGAGCCCTGTTGTCCCAGCTGTTCTGGAGGCTGGGGAAGAAGAATCTCTTCCAAGAGATCCAGATTGCAGTCAGCTAGTATGATGCTGCAACTGCACTCTGCACTGTAACCTGGGAATGAAATCCTGTCTTAAAAAAAACAAAAACAGGCGGTGCCCATAGGGCAGAGTGCCAGCCACATACACTGAGGCTGGAGGGTTCAAACCCAGCTAAAACAACAATGACAACTGCAACAACAACAACAACAACAACAAAATTGCTGGGTGTTGTGGAAAGCACCTGTAGTCCCAGCTACTTGGGAGGCTGAGGCTAGAGAATCATTTAAGCCCAAGAGTTTGAGGTTGCTGTGAGCTGTGAGGCCACAGCACTCTACCCAGGGCGACAGCTCAAGATTGTCTCAAAAAAAAAAACACCCTGCAATTTAAAATTTTGTAGGGAAAAATACAGAAGAATATAACCAAGGCTTTGGAACAAAGGAAGAATTTGTTAAACAAAAGTCACTAATCATTAAAAAAGACCAAAATTTTACAACATTTTATTAAAACTTTACCAAAATTTTATTAAAATTAAAATAAAAATCCCTATTAAGCAAAAGATATCGAAGACAAAGGTACATCTGTAGTCCTAACAGACTGTTAACATACATAAAAGAATGTCCATACATATATATATGAAAAGGCAACCCAATTGAAAAAGCAGCAGAAGACATGAATAGGAATTTCACAGAAGAAGAAACACACAAAAGACTCCTAAAAATATGGGAGCAGAAAGCACATCTCACCCATGATTCCTGGAGCACAAATAACAAATAGAATAAGACATCACGCCACACCCACCACTCAGCAAAAACCGTCCCACAAGTGGGACAATATCACCCATTTAAGAAGATGTAGAATTAAAGAGGACTATTGTGGAAATATATAATGGTATAATCACTTTGGGAAACAATTTAGCACAACCAAGCTAATTTCTCCCGCACGTGTTATCTGATGAACTGTTTTCTCTCCCTCCCCTTTTTTGAAAATGCTATGGACTGAGACATGAAATACGTTCTAGAATCTCCTCCTGAGTTGTAACCACAGACTAGCTTACAATTTGAGAAATTACTGCTCTAGAGTTACCCTCATAACCCTTTTCACTTAGGACCCCATAATACTCTTTAAAAAATTTAGTGAAGAGAGGCATTGCTTTACATTTTATTTTGGCAAATCTCTTTAAGGTTTGGCTTAAAAGATGGATACTTCATTCTCTTTATCTGCTCCTGAATTCACTGTTAGATGCCATTTTGGTTAAGTATATGAAGGAAATCTGGTCTCTCACAAACATGCTGTTGGATGCAGAGGTCTTTTGCAGAATTCCTGTGAGGGTCTCAGAAATACCCAATATTATATATTACTACAATCTTAAAGTGGGTGGGCATGGGGGGAAGAAGCAAAAAGGGGCACAAAGATATTCATTTTACTATTCTCAAAAATAAATCTTGTAAGGCTTTTTGGGAAAACATTAAAAGGCAGGCATAAAAGACTTTCTTGTATATTTCAACACTATGCTGCCTATATTTCTACACAGAATTAAATTTGTTATGCCTGGAGTTATTTTCCTGCCTTCTCCACCAGTGAACTGATACACAGTAATCAATAAATGTTACTTGCTATTACAGTAACAGCAGAAATACTAAAAAAGATCAATTGAAACTTACTACCTTTTCCATATTGTTTACATTTTGAGATTTACATGGTCTCTGCACCCTAATGATCATTTTAAAATCTACTTGATAAAAATCCTTTCCTAGCAGGCCAGTCTTGGTGGCTCACCCCTATAATCCTAGCACTCAGGGAGGCCTGGGGGAGTGGACTGCTTGAGCCCAGGAGTTAAGACACCAGCCTGAACAAGAGAACCCATCTTTACTAAAAATGAAAATCTAGCCAGGATGTCCTGGTGGAAGTTTGTAGTCCCAGATACGGGGGAGGCTGAGGCAAGAGGATCACCTAAGCCCAAGAAATTGAGGTTGCTGTGAACTCTGATGATGACATGGCACTCTATCCAGAGCAACAGAGACACTCTTTAAAACTTAAAAAAAAAAAATCCTTGCCTAGTAAAAAAAACACCGCCATTTACTACAACTAGATCCAGGACATTTAATAAATGTCTTCTCAAATGCCAGATACAGTTGAAAACACATACATCTGAGTTGTTTATGTTCAACCCCAAAATCTGAATGAAGTCTTTGGAGTTCATGTTGAAGTTTATGGAGTGCTTTCACAATTATATTGAAAATGGTAGGCTTATTTCTGATGGGACATCTAAACATTTCTTATGTACCAGGAAACCAACTAAACTTAGTTATTTTTGTTTTGAGAACTAGTAACATCTAAATTAGTCATTCTGATGTAGCAAATAGTTACTTACGAAGAGTGTTATGCTTTGATCTGTAAAGGATCTAGACCAGGGGTTCTCAGCCTTCCTAATGCCGCAATGTATTTTCATTGTTACAAAGGGGTCACGACCCACAGGTTGAGAACCGCTGATCTAGACATTCTTAGTGTACTCTTAATCCACTTTAAGCCGAGTTTAACACACAAGATATATGTGCTTTTCTATTTAACACTTTTTGGGATTTCTGTTAAGACTACCTTAAGGACTACCAGAATCCTAGCACTCAGGGAGGCCTAGGGGAGTGGACTGTTTGAGCCCAGGAGTTAAGAGACCAGCCTAAACAAGAGTGAGACCCCATCTAGACTAAAAATTAAAAATCTAGCTGGGATGTCCCTGTAGGAGTCTTAAATCTAGCCGGGATGTCCTGGTGGGATTGTAGATGGGTTGAATATATCCCAGTACCATTGCTCATTAGATGACCTTGGCATAGCAGCTCAATCTAACATTTGTTCCTTGTTCAGTCTTCGAGTGCTTAAGTTCTGATAACAGTAAAAAGTCCTCTTCTCTACGTTTGATTATCTCCTTTGTAATCTTCAATCTACTGACTCTTGTAATAGTACCACTATTTTTCTTTCCTTTTACTGACCTAGTTCTTCAGTGAACTCCAAATGCTTCATTCATTACCTCTCCTTAAAACTCCCCAGACCTCTTTGCAACCTTGTTACCCTCATTTTGCTCAGACCTTGTTATACTTCTGGCCTCATTCTCCAAATTCTAATTAACCTCAGAAAGCTGAAACTGAGGAAATTTGACTTCCTCTAGGTGACTGCTGTCTTAAGTGTTCCCTACACTACTAGCTTGTACGAAATTACTTTATCCTGGCTTCTTCCTTCACTACTCCTTTTTCTCGTGTTTTCGCCTACTTTTTAATTCATCTCATCCAAATTTACCTCAGTTACCTCTGCTAATTCCAAAACATGTCCAATTTCTGAAAGCGCCTATTGTCTTGGCAAATACCCCAAATGCCTGCAGTGCCTCTTTATCTTTCCACTGTTCTTGCGACAAGAAATTGGAATTCCCTGCAGCGAGCACCATCTTTCCGTCTGGAAATGCTTCTCTAGCTGACTCGAGCACAGCGTATCACTACTATTTAGAAGTTACTCTAGTTGGTAGCACTTGCCGGCTACTTGTTCTTTCCTATTCACCCGTGTAAGTGTAAAGCCTAGAAGCATGCTAGGCACCGAGCACTCGCTCAAAGGCGCAGGAACAGCTCCACTTCGCTCTGTCACGTTTACTTCCTAACTCTCCTCAACGCCGCGCAGTTCCCCCAACACTAAACGGTCAGACTGTAATTCGACAAATCACAGTGCCTGAGCTGGACGGTGACTCGTGGGGAGGTAAAAACAGTATTTAAGACCAGCACTCTCGGTCTCCTTTCCAAAAGGCATCTCCGCATCGCAGCTCCCTAATGCTCTGCAAAGTGCGCTCCCCGGCTACACGGACCATCTACCTAAGTGAAAGAGACCACGGGAGGGAGGGGAGGCGCCGCAGGCAGAGAAAACAGCACAGGCCACGACCTGAAGGCTCGAGAGCCCGGCGCGCCTACCTGGTCTCGGCGCCTTTCCAACAGGGGCCGTTATACACTCACGTGACCAAAGGAGCCCCGTGTGCGCAGCCCAGCAAGTGGGCACATTTATCCCAGCCGAGCGTCGGCAACGCCTGCCAACCTGGGCTGCTACGCCGGTGCGTCGGGGAGGGCTGCTCCAGGGGAAGCCAGAAGGTGCAGCCTGCACAGAGGAGCGGTGAGCCAGTGTAGCGCAGGGCGATTCAGCCGGCCGCTCCCCCGCAGTGCTCCAGTAAGGGGCCAGACGCTGGACCCAGAGCGCCCGGCAACGCGAAGAGCTGCCGGCACCCACCCGGAGCCCATTCGAACGCTGCTTCTTACCGAAAACTGAGAACCAGAAGCCGCAGAGACCGACGCCGACGCCATCTTTCTGCCCGCCCAGGGGGACCTCCGCACCTTTGGGGCAGCCTGAGTTCCCCTGCTCTTCAAGATTCGAGAGCCGCCCCCCAGGGGCGACCCTAAGCCCAACCCCTGATGGAAGGGGTACCGGTGCTGGCGCCGGGTTTAGAAACCCCAGCCACACACTCCCTTAGGGACGCCCACGCTCACCGAGCACACAGAAAGGGCGACACGTCCTAACGAACGTCTTCAATATCCAATCAAAAAAGCAGACGTCTTCCTGTAGTAGGAGAGAACCCGCCTCTTCCTCCGGTGACGTCACAAGGTAGCGCGCGCCGAGCCTGTCCCGGGTCTACTAGGCTGCGAGCTACCAGTCGGCTCTGGGGAATTCTACAAAGGGGTGGGACTTTTCGAGCAGCAAAAGTGGACAAGGCGTAGTGTTGTCGTCAGAGGCAACTCAGTGGAATGACTGAAGTAGAATAAAACCGAATGCAAACTACAAATACTCCGTCAGTTCCCTCGGATTACATGCTGGAGAGCGCGTGAGTTTGACGTGGGGGCCGCCTCTCCAGGTGCAGTACTTACCTTTTGGCCAATAACGAATACGACTAGGAGGAGCTTAATGATCTAGTCCAATAGAAGTCAAGGGAAAAAAGCCAGCGGCAGAGAGCGAACCTTCTGCGAAGATTTGCCCAATTGGAGCGGGGCACTCTCCTAAACCTGGGACTGGCTGCTAGAACTGGCCGCGACCAAGACTTTGGGGCGGGCCAGGTTTAAAGGGGATTTCGCGCGCTGAGAGCGTCGGGCCGTCATTGGCCGGTGACTTCCTTCCTTTGTGGGCGCTCCCTGCGTAGCCGCTGTTCGGTTTGGGCGGAACGTCCGAGTGACGCTATAGTCTCCGCAGCCAATCAGGTATGGGGAAGGGAGGCCAAGAAGGAAGCGGATCCGCGGCCGCGCAGCTAAACCGCCACTAACTATCCGCTTCGTCTCCCTCCGCCGCTATCGGGGCCTAAGCGGGAGCGGCAGGGACGGCGTCACTGGGTGGGCTGGGGCGGAAGTGGAGGCGGAGGGAGACGGCGGCGGCGTCCGCGGGGCCTTGGGCTCTGGCGGCGAGGCCCTGGTGGGCGCGAGGCCGGGGGAGGGGGAGGAGGAGGAGCCCGCGGCCCGGGCGGCGGCGGCTCGCGAGTTCCCCGTAGGGCCCCGCCTCGGAGCGGGCGGCGGCGGAGGAGGAGACTGAGGAGCAGGATGGCGGCCTCGGCCCTGTACGCCTGCACCAAGTGTACCCAGCGTTATCCCTTCGAGGAGCTCTCCCAGGGCCAGCAGCTCTGCAAGGTCCGTAGGTGCCGGGCGGCGGGCGGCTGGGTGTCTTCGGCCGTAACCCCAGGGGTTGGGTGGCCGCTGCACTGCAGCCCCGCTCTCTTTGCCGGCGCCTCTGGGGTTTGGGAGTCTGGAGCCCTTGCCTCCCTATCCGGGGACCCCTTTTTCTGAGGGCCTGAGTTTCATCTGGGGAAGGCCCCAGAGAGGGAGGTAGAATCCTGCTGTCCTCTTCCAGACTGCCCATTAGGGGGCCGCGCCCCCTGAGCGGCCGGGGGTTTCGGGTGGAGCAGAGCGAGGCAGCCACCTGTCTATGCCGCAGAGACCCTGGGGTGGAGATGTTTTCATCTCTCTTTTCTGCCTGGTCTGTCCTCTCCTTCCACCAGGAGGCAGGGGACGGTTTTTGCACTTTCTTGCTAGGAATCCGAAGCCGCAAAGCTGATGGCATCCTTCTTCCCTGTCCAGGAAAGCGAAGCGACTGGTTTGGGAACAGAATGCTCTATGATTTGGAGCTCCTCCCATCCCATTAAAGCCGGGATGCTGTCTGTGAGCAACGGTGCAAAATAATAAGTAGTTTCACACTTAACCAATCTTTGAAATTGGCCCTGACAGCTTTATTAATGTATCTGTAATAAAACCCCACATCTAATAAAGACAAAGACACCTATGCCTTCCCTAAGGAGTTATACTGTGATTGGCTACTTACATAAGTCGTCCAGTTGTTTATGTTGGGGGCCAGATTTTATTGATGTGTTTTAGACATTTGGCTGGGTTTGGTAATAGTTTTCTCCCAGAAAAGTGAGATTTGGACCTTTGAGATAAGGCACTGACTAATGTATTATCTTATTACAGGAATGTCGGATTGCACATCCTATTGTAAAATGTACTTACTGCAGATCAGAGTTTCAGCAAGAGAGGTTTGTATACTGAACATTTTTTGATTGTTACAAAGTTTTGTCTGTAAGGAATACTTGGGGGTTATAATGTCATATTTATATTAGTTTTTAAAAATGATTTTGCCTCTGAAATTTTAAATTGTAAAACTTTCTTGTATGGTAGGAGAGAGAATGTTGCCAAAAAGACAGTGGTGATTTTGAACTAGACATGAGTCTTTTTATGAGGAAGTAGAGAATAAATTATTTTATGAAAGATGTACAGCTTTGGTAATAAAAGTGCAAAAATAAACAGCCACAATTAAGCTATAAAAAAATGGTAAATTGCTAATGGACCCGTGGTAAGGTCTGTAGTGTTATCAGCTGCCTCCTAGGGTGAAATCTGGTACTTGTTACTTGTGGAGAATAGCACGCACTTTTTTAAATAGGTGATTCCACTCTGGGATCACACACAGAAAATGGCCTAAGAGAAGAACAAGTAATTTTCTTCCTAAGAAAGTTGGGGCATGGTAACAATGGAGAATGGCCAAGTGAAATGTGTGGTAGGCACTGAAAGGTGAGGCAGTGCATTAATAGTGGCAAATGTGGAGCTTTTGGAACTAGATAAAGAACAGGATTTTTTTGTTTCCTTTACAAAAAACATTTTTTTACACAAAGATGTGCAAAAACATTTGTGCTAAGATAATGGTTAGAGAAGTAAATTCAGATTAAAACAACCCTGAAAAGACATATCTGTATTTTTGAAGAAAAAAATTTCAGTCTATGGGGCGGTGCCTGTGGCTCAAAGGAGAAGGGCGCTAGCTCCATATGCCGGAGGTGGTGGATTCAAACCCAGCCCCAGCCAAAAACTCCAAAAAAAAAATTTTTTTTTTCGGTGTATGTTAGGAGTAAGTTTTAAGAACTGCAAATCTTTTAGAAGAAAAAATTTTTATAAGACAGAGTCTCTGTGCCCTGCATAGTGTGGGTGATGTCAAAGTCATAGCAGCCTCACACTTGGGCTCAAGCTCTCCCCTTGCCTCAGCCTCCCAAGTAGTTGAGCTTACAAGGTGCCCAATAATATGCCTGGCTAGTTTTTCTATTTTTAGTAGATATAGGGGTTTCATTCTTGCTCAGGCTGGTCTTGAACTCCTGAGCTCAGGTGATCCACCTGCTTTGGCCTCCTAGAGTGCTAGGATTACAGGCATGAGCCGCCATGTCTGGCCAAAAACTACAAATCTTTGACAGCTATTTACTTTACTATTTACTTTAGTTCAGCATCATGCTACAGAAAACTACATAAATGTGAACATCTCTGTCCAATTTCTTTTTCAGCAAAACTAACACAATTTGTAAGAAGTGTGCTCAAAATGTGAAGCAGTTTGGGACGGTTAGTATGTCTTCTATTTTCAATTCATGCTCCTGTTACTGGTCAGGTACTATTTTTTTACAAAGCTGGATCTTTAAATATGTATTGCTGTGTTCGTCAACATTTCAATACATTAATATTTTTTATAAAAGAAATTTTCTGTATGTATTACATAATGTACTATATAAATCACAGTCTAATATGAAGATAACAACATTTAAAAACGTTCAAATTATGGACATGTTTTATGTATGTTGAATTTCAAGGTGGAATTTATGAAGTTCTCGAAAGATTTAAATATAGCAAATCCCTAGTTGTGGAGAACCTACTTGTCCACAAGTCATGCATAATCAGACTTTTCCCCTCTTCTTCAGAATCCCCTTTTCAAAATTATTTTTATGCAGCAGCACAATTTAGATATTTGTTCATGAAAGTCATAATATTGTCCTATTGCAAATTGTATATTATAGTCATTATTGGTAATTATACCAATAACATACTATCTTGAATTATCCTTTGAATATCAAAGAAAATTAAGTGTTTATATTACAGTTTATGTTGAATATGCTTGTGTCAATTTTTTTAAGTTGAAAACACGTGTCATATGTATTTCTTATATGGTCAAACTGGTATATTATGAAAAGTTGAAATTTTTTTTGAATAAGTGATATGGTTATTAAGTTGACCAGAAAATTAAATTAGAAGTTCCATTTCCCTAAATTCTGGATACATAAATCTTTTCTATTCAGTCTTTATTTTCGTTTCTTTGAGAACTTTGTCATGTGTAGCCTTTGTAATACATAACATACTATGAAAATCACACACATATTTTTCATGGATTTTCATTTAAATGTTCCAATAGAATAACAGTGAGTTTCATGACTTTAGAAATAGATCAGTTGAATGAACAGAAATGTGATAAATGTTGTTGAATGTGACAGGGCAGCATACTTGACAGAAAAGTTTTTTATCTGTCATTTTTATTTTTTTATTATTATTTTATTATTTATTTACTTTTTTTTTGAGACAAAGTTTTTCTCTTGCCCTCGGTAGAGTGCTGTGGTGTCACAGCTCATAGCAACCTCCAGCTCTTGGGTTTCGGCAATTCTCTTGCCTCAGCCCCCGAGCTGTCATTTTTCTTAAACCCAGAAATATGCCTGTACTACTGGTTATATTTTATGTAGCGAATTTTTACTGTTTCTAAATGTCTCAAAGAAAATGTGTATCTTTTCAGCCCAAACCTTGTCAGTACTGTAACATAATTGCAGCATTTATTGGTACCAAGTGTCAGCGTTGCACAAATTCAGAAAAGAAATATGGACCACCTCAGACTTGTGAACAGTGCAAGCAGCAGTGTGCTTTTGATCGGAAGGAGGAAGGAAGAAGAAAGGTATGTTTGATTTGTGTTATGACATCATCTGGAAATTAAATACCAAACAAGTTGTAAGTTATAATTAATACACTACTGAGACCGGTTATAGCTTTTGAGTCCTTGAAAGCAGAGAATTAGCTGACAGTATGGGAAGAGTGAGATTTTTCCTTGTTATGTGCAGTCATGTCGATCAAGTAGGTTTATTATACTCTAAAAAAATATTCTGTGATGGCTATTCTGTATTATTGGCCATCTCTAATTTAGTTGGGAAATGTAATTACTGTTAAATAAAGCCTTTCACCTCTTTACTCTTTTGTTGGTTACTTGAAGTTGCTGGTGTGATAAAATACAAAAAAATATTCTGTGATGGCTATTCTGTATTATTGGCCATCTCTAATTTAGTTGGGAAATGTAATTACTGTTAAATAAAGCCTTTCACCTCTTTACTCTTTTGTTGGTTACTTGAAGTTGCTGGTGTGATAAAATACTTGCTGGCACATTAGCACGTAATATTCAAAGGTAGTCATGTGCCTTTCTGATGTGGAGTTATATTTGAAACCGTTGTTTGTTTTTCTCTACCTACAGTGACTTAATAAGTATGTGTGTGCATGTGGCATTCCTCTGCTGATGAGCATTCACACAGGCCTCCTGTTGTCTGTCAGTGTCAGTTGATTTGGAGGATGACTGTCTCTTTGAGGGGCTCCCCCAGGTCCTCCCACAGCAATGTATGTACCCTAGTTATAAGACATGACCCTCCAGCACCTCCTGTGTGACAAACAAAAGACAGAAACTTGATTTTATTATTATAGCGTTAGTCTTAATAATTTTGAAAAGAAGTCTTTCCCAATTGATGATTGTTCTTTAGGGAAGTTATGTTTTATAAAGCTAGCATAAACGCTGAATTAGTGAAATACAGTATTTCTCCCTTACTCAAGAGGGATACATTTCTTTTAAGACTGCGGTGGGTATCTGAAACTGGAGATAGTATTGAACCTTATATACATTTATACTGTGTTTTTTTTCTATACATACGTGCCTATGATGAAGTTTAATTTATAAATTAGGCATAATAAGAGATGAACAACAGTCTCGATGCCTGTAGCTCAGTGATTAGAGCACTGGCTACATACACTGGGGCTGGCAGGTTCAAACCCGACCTGGGCCAGCTAAACAATGACAACAACAAAAATAAAATAGCTGGGCATTGTGGTGGGCGCCTGTACTCCCCTCTCCTTGGGAGGCTGAGGCAAGAGAATCGCTTAAGCCCAAGAGTTTGAGGTTGCTGTGAGGTGTGATGCCATGGCACTCTATTGAGGTTGACATTATATGAAACTTTGTCTCAAAAAAAGAAAGAGAGAGAGATGAACAACAATAACTGGTAACAACAATTATAGCAATACACTGTAGTATAAGTCATGTGAACATGGTGTCTCTTTCTCTTTCTGAAAATATCTCATTGTATGTCTTATCTTCAGACTGAGGTTGTGAGAAAAACTGGGGGTAAGAGGGGCTGCTGTATGGAATCATTGCCCTGAAGGGACATACAGGGTTAGACTCTTGCCTCTGAGAACATGCTGGTCAGGCGATCAGTACATAACCTTACTTTATTCATGTTTCTGTTTAAAGACACCTTATTTACTTACTGTTGATTGATTTAATTGAACTCATGGCCTACTGCACTAATGATGCCTGAACAAGGCTTATCGGACATGTATTTTCTTTACAAGACACATGACAGCTTCTTAAACTTAGGAACTGTATGCAGCACCTCTGTGTTGCTCTTTGGGACCATTTTATACATTAAAATAACCCCCCAAAGCACAGAAGCTTAAAAAAATATGGCACTAAATGGACGGAGGGTATTTGAGAGCTAAAACAAGACAAGCAGGACATCACCTTGTTCCACCTCAGCTGGGAATGTGTGTTGTTGGTAACACACATTTTCACCACTTGGCATATGTGCAAATGGCCACAGAAGTGGCTGCAAGTCTTTATTTTTAGGGTTACAGATACATTTTAGTAAGTAGGCAGATTTGCAAATATAAAACCCAAGAATAATGAGAACTAACTATATGTGTCATTGAGGTTCTCTTGTTCTATAAATTCACAGTATTCACTGTAGTGGGAAATACTTTATCATTTTAATAATTACATAGTGATTTAAGAATTCCAGCTGTAATTCCTGGAAGTATATCAATTTACACTTTCTAGGAATAACAAAAGTAATTTTTTTTTCTCTTCGTATAAAATCCCTCAGAACTAATGAGGGTCTTGTATCATTTTCACCAATTTTATAATAATCCTCCAAACTGGCATTTTACCAAATTTCAGGAAAGTTTAATTTTACTTCCATTTTGCAAAAACCTGTGAATGTGTGTGTGCATACATCATGCGTGTGTGTGTGTGCGCGCGTGCGCACGTGTGTGTAAAATAATAACAGTTGAGCAGTTTATCTTACCTGGTTTTATTTACAGCCAATATATGGTTACATTTAATCCAATAAAAATATTTTCTTTAAAGGTTGATGGAAAATTATTATGCTGGCTCTGTACTTTGTCATATAAGAGAGTTTTACAGAAGACAAAAGAGCAGAGGAAGAGCCTGGGATCTTCCCATTCCAATTCATCTTCTTCATCTCTTCCTGAGAAAGACCAACATCACGCCAAACACCATCACCATCACCATCACCATCACCATCGTCACAGTAGTGGCCATCACAAGTAAGTAATTTCAAGTTCCGTTTTCTAAAATCCTTCCTGGTGTTTTAATGTCATTTATTGGTTTTACATCTTACAAATACTGACTACATGGTAGTTTGGTTTCCATTGTACATTGTAAGCTTCTTAAGTGTCTTAAGGCCTCACTTTAATCAGTGTGTAAAATTGCACCCATGGAATGTACTTAGCTGTTTACCATAATAAAAAGATAGGACATTTAGGGAGTTAATCTATAAAATTATGATCGCATCATGAAGTCAAAGTAAAGTACTTCAGATTTAATACTTCAGTGATTAAGTATCAGAAGCCTCAATATTCTTTTTTTATTTTATGTTTGTTAGGATTTTGTTTGTAAAATTTATATTTATCTCAGTTATCATTAATTTGTTTTAGTAAAAATTTAAGCCTGTGACAGGGAAGTATACATTTAGCCTTTTGGAAAACAGATTATAACACTATTATTTATTACCATGATGAAACCATTTTTAATCTTGGAGGTACCCAAAATGTGAGGAATAATATTTTTAACTACTTGTACTTACTGTTTTTTAAGACATATCATTAAGAACACTATTCACATACAACTGCAGTGGTTCCTCAGTTTATAGGAGGGATCAGTTCCAGGACTACTGGCGTAATATACCAAAGTCTGCACACACTCAAGTCCCACAGTCATCTTAGGAAACCTATATGTGTGAAAAATCAGCCTGCCCATACCATGTAGCTATGTGGGTTTCATATCCTGCAGATACTGTATTTTTGATCTGTGTTTGGTTGAAAAAAATCAATCCACTGGTCCCGCGTAATTCAAACCCAGTTGTTCAGGGGTCAGCTGTACTTGATTCAGAGTCTCACTCTGTTGCCCAGGCTAGAATGTTATGGCATTAGCCTAGTTCACAGCAACCTCAAACTCCTCAGTTCAAACGATCCTCCTGTCTCACTTAGCCTCCCAAGTAGCTAGGACTACAGGAGCCCTCCACAAATGACTTGACATGGGGGTAGAGGTTATATAGTAGTAGTCTTAACCCTGAATGTGTGTGGTATAAATAGGATTTTAGTCCTCATGGCAAAAAATCAATGTTAAAAACAAATACACATAGGACGGTGCCTGTGGCACAAGGAGTAGGGCGCTGGCCCCATATGTCAGGAGTGGCGGGTTCAAACCTGGCCCTGTACAAAAACTGCAAAAAAAAAAAAAAATACACATAAACACATAAAATGGAAAAATCAGGTACATGATCCCTCCCCCCCTTTTCTAGAAGGATTCATCGTGTTTTTGTAAATGTTTCTATGAGTCTTCAGAGTTTCAGATCGTTAGTAAAACAAAATTTTACTTACAGAAAACTGATGCCTACTAAATTTTGGAACACATGCTATTTTTGGAATATAATACATTTTTGTCTACTTGGATTGATTGTAAGCTGTGTGCACACTCCAAGCACCGAGTAGATGACACGGTTTTCTGAGGAAGCTCTGAGGCTCTGTTTCCCTCTACCCGGTAGTACTTCCTAGTCAGGGCAATGGCAGACTGCAATGCAGTGACTTCTCTTTTGGCTGTTTTGAAGAAATCTTAAGGTCTTTATATTAGGGTATCCTAAGAAGCAAAGGAGCATAAATCTCCCTTCTTTTCGCTTCTTACTTAAAAAAAAAGTACGATACAATAATTATATGCTGTCATGGCAGATGCCTAAGACTCCGCTGGAATGTCTCTCTCTGTCTTGTATAGAGAAATTTGTTGTAGCATGATGTGAAAGGAACAGCTGGCATGTGTGAAGATCAAGTTATGTGATAGTAACCTAATCTTGAAATAATTGACAGGTTTGAAAATAAAGGGAGAGAGCACAGTTTTAATTTTAAGTTTTTCTTTCCTTTTGGTTATTTACATACAAATACTATTGAGGGCTGTAGATGGTGTGATGAGCAGACAGTGTAGGGGCCTGTCAGGTCAGTAGATGAGGATGTAGAGTATAAGGAGCGTACTGCAGGTGGTGGTGAGTGGTGAGGGAGCAGCACTAGGGTCAGTCGGAAACCAGAAACGGACAACTCTCAGAACGCTAAGATGTGAATTTAAATGTTCTGGTCAATCATTAATGTCATCAATCTCACTTTAAGATCTGGTTAGTGCTGTTAATTCATATGTGATTATAAGGCCTGCTAAAGCTTATAATTAAATTTGTAAAAGAAACTCATGGACAACTGAATTCCTGAATAGGGGTTACCATTCATTTACAAATAAAGAGAAAGTCAGATTGATAGAATTACAGCTACTGTTTCCCCAGTTTAATATTTACTTACAGGTGATTCTTTAACTTTGTGTATTTTTTACTTTTGATTAAACTTATACAGCTAAAACAATAGTAAATTTTATACACACACAAACATGTACGTATATTTTATATATGATAGCACTGTACTCTTTTTATGTATGTAGCTCATTTAATGTTCATTTATAAGCTATGTGTTATACCCATTTTACATATGAAGAATTCATTGAGGTTCAGGGATTTTCGGTAACTTGCATAAGGTTATAGGTCTTCTAACATCTTCTTAAATTATAAAAATATGTGGTATCTGAAGAGGCTGTATACATGTTGAATGAACAAACTAGGGGTTGGTGAAAGATTGACATGTAAGAATAGGAGAAAAAATTCATAGTGAATTATAAAGCAGCTATTAGTATTATATGGAAAAACCAAAGAGTGTTAAAGTATTAATTTTAAGTGAAAGTAAAATCATTTGTTATGAAATTTCTCATTATTTTCAGCACTTGTCTGGAGAACTAAAGTGAGATCTAGAGACTTTGGATAGGATTCTTAAGAAAACTAGGAAAGAATCAAAGAAATAAAGACATTTTCTTATTGCTTAATTTGACATAATAGTCTGAGAAATGGGAATTCCTCAAAAGGAAGAATCTCTACTTAAAGTTATTAGGAAAGTCTTAACTTTAAAGACAAATTTTTTGTGTGAAATATTAAGGGCAGCTAAAGTACAATAATTTCTAGACTTTTATAGAACCTTTTGTGGTTGTTTCGTGGTTATATACCCTATCATTGGTATGATATTAAATAGAATTAGGGAGATCCTGATTAAAAAGAAGATTCAATCTCTGTCATTGTACCTTTCTGAGGGACTTCAGAATGGCTACTAGTTATTTGATTAGACTTTATCTCATTTGAATGGGATTTATTAAATATATATTCGCTTAGTCTGAAAACTTAAATATGCCCTTCTCTGAACAAAAGATTGTAAACACAGTTTGATTCCATTGAGAAAGAATGCTGTTAAATAAATGTCATTAGATGTCATTTATGTATTTTTCAGAATCAGCAATCTAAGCCCAGAACAAGAGCAGGGACTATGGAAACAGAGGTAAATGCATTAATATATTTTCCAAAGTATTTTGAGGTGTATTTTTGTAAATGTGATATTCTTTTAACTTTGTTACTTAGGCTTTAAGAAGAACTAGTGATGTTTAGTAATACTTTAGAGGAAGAAAAATAACTTACCGTCTGGTTCTTCTACTCTTTTTACTCTAATTATTCTTATTTAATGTTTGGTTTCAGCCATAAATCCTCTGCAGCAATTCAGAATGAAACTCCAAAGAAAAAACCCAAATTGGAATCTAAGCCATCTAATGGAGATAGGTAAAAATGAATTCCTTTAGTGTTACAAAAATATAACTCAGTTGAACAGCTACGGTCAGTTGCCAGTTATTACAGATGAAAGAATAGAAACATTTTGTACATTGACTTCTTTGAGTCAACTAGAAGAGTAAACATAATAGTTTAAAAATTAACTTAATTTTGGCAATAAGAAAGTGGCACTGAACTATATAGTTCTATTTGGGGAATAAATTTGGGTTTTGAAAAAAGAAATCTGAATAGAGAACATTATCTTTATTCTTCAAAGAAACACAAATCGAATTGTGATATTTTAAATTGACCTGCTTTGAAATGTTTTTAGATTTAAAATACTATGAGCGTGACTTTGTTTTTAGTTCATTAGCCAAAGTTTGCTGATATTACTGTACAAATTGGCTGCCTATTGCTTAACACTAGAAATATTGACCCCCTTAAAGCTAATACTGAATTATATTTCTGCAGGTGTATGTAATGTGTGCCATTAGTAAGGTAATTTGCCAGTTGCATCCATTTCTGTCAGGTACATATTTTTTTGCATTAGCCTTAAGGATGTTTGTGGAATTGTCTAATTTATGCAATTTGAACATCTGCTAATTTTTGTTCTACTTGATTTAACTGTGTTTTACTTTTTTCTTTTTAGTAGCTCTATAAATCAGTCAGCAGATAGTGGGGGAACAGACAATTTTGTCCTTATAAGTCAACTTAAAGAAGAAGTGATGTCACTTAAGCGTCTCTTACAGCAAAGAGACCAGACCATTTTAGAAAAAGATAAAAAGGTAAGAACATGGTTCACTAAAGCCTGGTAGAATTTACATCTTGACTCTTGCTTAATCCTTGTACCTTTTATTAGATTTCTATGACAATTTGGTAATTAATATTTATTTTGCGTGATTCTTAATAAAACAAATTATGAAAGCCCAACTGGAGTCCGAGTTATCTGGTGAAGATATAAAAATGATCTTTCATAATTTTAGTTATAAGAATTAACTGCTAATTAAAATAGTAATTTCTTAACCTTAGTTTTTAGTAAGCCTGTAATTTAAAAATAGGTCTGATATTGTAATTTAAAAATGAGATGCAAATGGAATATTTAAAAAACCCTTCTGATTGAAGAATGTTGCTTGAAAGTAGTCTTTAATATACTGATCGTTTACTGATATCAATCCAGAAATGGTGTGGGGATTTCCTGTGACAGTGATTAGCAGTAGGTATCTAAGATCATGGGAAGCGAGTGTCCTTACTGGGATGGTGTTGATCAGTTCAGTGAGGAGGAATATCAAATATATTGTCCATTTAGTGAAAAGAAGAATGTTAACAGAGTTATAGGCAGATTGAAAGTTTTCTTACACTGGGCTCGGCGCCTATAGCTCAACTGGCTAAGGCGCCAGCCACGTACACCTAAGGTGGCGGGTTCGAATCCCCAGCCCGGACCCGCCAAAACAACAATGACGGCTGCAACCAAAAAATAGCCGGGCGTTGTGGCGGGCGCCTGTGGTCCCAGCTACTTGGGAGGCTGAGGCAGGAGACTCGCTTGAGCCCAGGAGTTGGAGGTTGCTGTGAGCTGTAATGCCACGGCACTCTACCCAGGGTGACAGCTTGAGGCTCTGTCTCAAAAAAAAAAAAAAAAAAGTTTTCTTACACTGTGAAATCAGTGTGGTAGGAACAAGACATGATTATAAATGTGTATGTGAATTATCCATCTGTCAAGTGCTCATGGTAGTGCTCAAGTTTGATCTGGCTTTTACTTCTTTTATCCAGTAACTCTTATGTTACATTTTCTCACATCTTGATCGTTAGTGGACTCACATTTATTTCAATACATTTGTACCTTACTTTAAGCAAATTCAGTATACAAAAATCTGACATATAGGATAAAAATTGGATAATTGTGGGTGCCTTAGTTTTACGATTCTTTTTTAGTGTTCCTCTTTAAAAAAAAAAAACAACTAATAAGGATTGAAAATAGCAGTGTTGTGAGGAAAGTAATAAACCTAAAATAGTGACGCATTTGCAACTTTTTCTTATAAACCTAAGATAGCCAAGTTATTTTCCTGAATTGATTGCATAAACTGTTCCCCAGACACTGTACTAGATCATGAGGATACAAAGATGATGAAACATGACACAACCCTTGTCTTCTAGAACTTCCTAGTCTGGAGGCAACACAGAGTGTGGTGAATAGAATAATTGTCTGAAGTGATGTGACGTGAGTGGCATTTTGGAACAGGAATTCTTTTAATATAGAAAATTGAGAGAGAAAGAATTTCGTCAGGGTTTCAATTTGACGGAATTTGGAAAGATAAGAGCATAAGACATCATGACTTTCTGTCTTTCAGTTTATTAACTCCTGGATAATTACAAAAAAGAACATACGAATATTAAAAGCTTGCAAAATGAAAAACATTTAAAGATAATCCAAAGTTGCTCCTGCCTGGTTCTGGTGATGGAATCATGTGACTTAGTTTTGGTTTGAAGTCATGAGGTGATTGTGCTTTTATAGCTGTCGCTTCATGTGTGTGAAAGATTGTCATGCAGCCTCTTTGCTACCTCAGACCACTCATTTTTTCTTACTGTTTGTCTAATTTAGCCCAAATTTTATAGAAACCCCTTCCTTGCTCATTCCAGGTTAATTGTATTCCCTTTTATACCTCAGAGGTTTGATAGTACTGTGGACATAATTCTGGACATGAACTTGACAGACAATCCAGTTTTTGGCTGAAAGGACCATTCCTCTTTACAGTTGCCCAGGATGAAACTTTAATAGATTTTAACCTTAAACTAGTTAAAAGGTTTACTTTGTTTATATTAGTGTGAAGTGCATTTAATTAAGGTATTTTCCAAGGGATTACCCATTAAGCTTTTTTGTTGGCATACCAGTTGTCAGATTCTTTGTCTAGTAAGGCCACCTTTTTTAAAGAAAAATAAAAGGCAATATCTCAAGTTTTATTGATTTCATCTTAGTAAAATTATACTGAAACAGTTCTTCATAAAGCAAATTTTAGGTAGGTTATAAAACTCAGAAAACTGCTATTAACATCTTACACTTACATAATGAAACATGAGGTTATTATGAAGGATATTTAAAGTGGTAGGTGTGTGTGTATGTACACACACGCGCACACACACACACAAACACATATATATAAAATTTTTTTTTCTTTTAATCTTTCAGTTAACTGAACTAAAGGCAGACTTTCAGTACCAAGAGTCAAATTTGAGAACCAAGATGAACAGTATGGAAAAAGCTCACAAAGAAACTGTGGAACAACTTCAGGTAAATGACATTTTTATGTAAATGTTGAGCACCAGTACTGATCTTGGGTAATGACATTTGCTGACGTTGATTGGTGCTGGTGCCCTTCTTTGTGCATATTGTACCTTTCAGTCTTGATTTTGACTTTATAGTAGTTTTTAGTCCTGATCCCATTAAAAATTATTTGAAATCACTTGAAAGGTACATTAATCCTAAAAACTTTTGCATAAACTTGGGGTTTTGAACATTGAAGTATGTTCAACTGATTGGCTATAGAAAAAAAAAAAACATTAAGTTAATGAAATTCAAGTGAAAATAAGGTTTTAGTGGCAATCATTCTTCCTACATCTTTCCAGATAAGGAGAAGGGTGATGGGTGTATAAAACCAATGCTTAGGAATTTCAGGTGGAGGAAATTTATGCTACATGCGGTGATGAAAGGCAGGAAGACTTAAACTTAATCCAGAGACTGGTCTGCACAGTGCCAGATAGGGTTCTGCTGCGTGCCAGCCGGTAGGGATCCACCTCAGCCTCTGAGTACTGCAGCGAAGTATATTCAGCATGATTAAAATTCACAGAACAGCTGCAAATGTGAAATGAAGAGTCGCCACAGTAACAAGAAGGGTAGTATCTGGTGTCTGGCCTGCGCCCAACATGAAGATACCGATTACTTCCTCACTGAAGCTTATTCTCACCTAGGCTTCACAAATTTAGAAATGAGATCACACCAAATTAATAACATGCTCCCTTCGACTTTTATGTTCTGACATTTGTAGACTTAATCTTTAGTAACAAGGTTTTTAAGATTAAGAAGTTTTAAGTCTTACAAGCAAAGAAAACTTGCCAGTACAAGACCACCAAAATTTGATGGGAGACCAAAGCTCTGGAAGGAAGGAATTAATCCTGCCCTGTTTAGTTTTTTTTTTCCTTTTATTAAGTCATATATACATAGATCATGAGTACATTTATGCATTTGTGGGGTACAATGTGTTGATTTTTTATAAAATTTGGAGTGCTTACATCAAACTAATACAGCTTTCGCCTCATTTACTTGATTATTGTGTTAATACGTTTATGTTCTATACTTGATAGATTTGTGTTGTACCCTTGCAGTATGTTCCATAGGTGTGGTCCCACCATTTACCCCCTTCAAACCTCTCCCCTCCCTTCCCCTCACCATTTTTCTCCTTCATCTTGATTGCTCTGTTTTTTTTTTATTCGTTTTTTTTTTTTTTTATTGAATGGTAACTATGTACATTAATGCACTTCTGGGGTACAGTGTGGGGTTTTCACATGCATTCTACTCTTAGAAAGATTCACTTGTACCCCTGTAAGATAAACCTCAGAAGTGATCCCTCTAATCCCCCTCCCTCCACCCATTCCCCCTCCCTTCTCCCTCCCTCCTCCCCATATTCTTAGGCTATTTGGTTATAGCTTTCATATAAAAGGTATAAATTAGTTTCATAATAGGGGTGTGTACATTGGATACTTTTTCCTCCATTCGATTGCTCTGTTTTTTAAAAACACACCAAGTGAGAACACTCTGTTCTGACTTTTGGTTTTTGTATTCTTCATGCTTCTTTGCAAATACCCTAAATCTGGTAGGATTTAGGAACCTGTGGAAATTTGACATACAGATGGCCTGGTCTTAAACCTCATCTGATTTACTGTTATTCATCCTATAAGGGTATATGTGAATTTCTCTAAATGTAGAATATAAATGTCTTAACACAATAACTAAGAAAAAGACATGAAGGCTGTGTTAACCACTTGGATGAAAGTATTTCAAATTGTATATAGAAATAGTACACTGTACCCCATGATAGTATTAATGTGCACTGCTATGATTTAATTAAAAAAAAAAAAGAATTTTGAAGAGGAACGTCACATAAAACCTGGCACATAGTAGGCATTTGAATCATTTGTTGAATAAGTGGTGATGGATGGAAATACCCATCTGCCTTCTGTCCTCAGACATTGCCTGTGCCATACATCAGCCTTGCTGTATGTACTGTTTTTCATCCACCAAGCAAGTATTTTAGATCCAGGATATTCTTACTTTTCTCATTCAGTTATTAATGCCAGATGATCACCTAGAACAAAATCTAACGTGTTGATCTTGATTTAATGTGATGTAACCAAAGCTCTGTTTGAAGTAAATCCAAAGTGAGATAACGGTATAATTATGAGTGGTACTTAAATATGATTTAACTTAGGTTTTCCTACTGTTCAGAAAAGCAGTTCATTTTCTGTTTTTCAAAATCATAGTTGGAAGCAAAGGAAACCCTCTTGACTTAGCTGATTGGTATATGAAGCTCACCTTGCTTGATAGCTGGAGTTTCATATAATGTAAGAGTAACTGATATCTACATAGAATCATTTTCAGCATAATTTTACAAATGCTGTCTTATTTGTTCTTTACAGTTTATGTGGCCTGGCCATTTTATAGTTGAAACTGGTTACACAGTAATAGGGACATAGATGGAAACGGCCTCTTCTGACGGAGAAGTAGCTCTGCTTCCCTGATCTGCGGGAGTTCCGCCACCTTAGGGTACCTCATCCTGCTTCTCAGACCACTTCCCTCTATCTTTTTTGTATTATGGCTACAGACATTCTGTTACAGCTAAGTGCTGTCTTTTTACCCAACTCCCATTAGCAACTGAAACAAGTAGGTGAATAAACATAGTAAATTACTTTCCTTTGTACGATAGTGAACTCTACAATACAAAGTTTATGTTGCTCTAGTAGTCTTTAAAATATTTTTAACTAGCAAACTTGGGAATAAGCACGGAACATGATAAGAAAAAGTTGTCTGAAATATCCCTCCAACACTCCCTAAAATATGTAAAATATTAAAAATACCAGAGAAAAATTCTGTTTCATTAGATAAGTGTCTAAAAGAGAAGAGGGCCCTACCATTTGAGAGCCTTTTATCTGCAGTCACTGTGTCAGGCTAAGTGTTTCATGTATTTATATATTCCTTTAGTTTTTCCAACTCATTTTGAGGTAGGAGGTGAAGTTTCTATTTGACAAGTGAGAAAATGTACTCCAGCTTACATAGCAGATCAGTGGCGGAGCAGGACCGAAAGCAGGACTGTGTGGTTCTTAATCCAGATACACTTCCCTTCAGACCAACATTTCTAAATAATTTCATTGATTTTTTTTTTCAGGTTGCAAAATGAAGTAATTTAAGGATAAAATACTTTACGTGTGCATTTATTTAAATATTTGCATTATGAAATTTTTTCATAATGTACTCAGAATAAGACAGATTTGGATTTGTGTTCATTGAAATCTGATATATTGTCTTAAAGGCTTTTTTCCTATTTGTTAGCAAGTAAATGTATTGGGTATGATTAGGGAACTAAATAAGTGTCGATTGAAAATAGCTACATTAAATAGAAAAGCTTCTTTCAAGATATAATATTTGAATTATTGTACTTGGTACTTAGAATGAAAATTATAAACTCATTTTAAAAAATTTCTTGATGGAGAGAAGTTAGTTTGGAGATTTACTTTTTAACTATTTAGTATATCAGTATAATAAATGTACCTTACAGATCTGGTGGAGGTCTTTTGGGGGCCAAATTACAGACATAGCCTTTATTATGCCCTTCATTAATTTGTATTTTAAAATTTATGTTTGTTAAATTTCTTATTTGCCAGTGGATTTCTTACAGTTGTAAACTAAACAATCTGTAGTTAACAATTAAAGACAAACTATGAACTACGACAGTGACGAGGACCAGTCAGCTGAGTAGTAAACCAGTTGCTTAGGAGAGAGCTGCTTGATCCCTCTGACTGCCAGCTGCGTTCTCACCTGGTTTGTCCTTTGAGTTTCTCAAACTTTAGTTTTAAAGAGAGAATAGTCCTTCTCAATTTGTCATGGTTTTCTAAGTTGCAAATTGATACTGAATTTAAAATAGAAGCTTTTCATGACCACCTTAGTTATTTAATAATCACTGAACAAAGAAACTGTATCATGCAGCTTGAACATAAAAAATGATTTGATTTATACTGTTAGGTATAAATACTGTTTATACTGTTTATACTATTTATTTATACTATTAGGTATAAATACTGAGAATGTTTGCACTTTGGAGGTCACGGGTGTTAATTAGGAAGAGTTTGATTGTAGAAGGGTGGGGGAATGGAAGTACAAGGTCTGGAGAAGGTTTATATTTTATGAAACCACTTTAAGGAGGCACACAGAGAAGACAGGGTGGTATTTGGCCATACCACGCTCAAATTAGAAGATGAAGCATGGAGGTTAAAAAATGTCTGTCTCGTCTAGATAATAAAGAATCTTGAAACTTGTGAAGGAAATGGTTTTCAAACATAAGCCAGAAGGTAACTTTTAAAAATCTGTTAATTTTAGGGCCGTGCTCAGGTTTTAAACGATCATCATCACTCTCCCCATTTTGGATGAGAAACTTCAGAAAAGTGCGTGATCATTAGCATATTATTGTGTCAGTTCCCACTGTTAAGAGACCATATAAGGTGGCAGAAGCACAGAGAATATGAGAATCTCCCTGAACTTAAGATCGTCAGTGCCTATTGGCTCAAGGACAAGGTCTTTATCTTTGTTGATGGATAAGACATTTGATAATGAAGTACAAATTACGTTGAGACAGTTAGCAAAGTGAAATTTTGAATCTTTGCAAGGAAAAAATTTCAGGCTTCGGGCAGCACCTGTAGCTCAAAGGAGTAGGGTGCTGGCCCCATATGGTGGAGGTGGCGGGTTTAAACCCAGCCCTGGCCAAAAACTACAAAAAAAACAAACAGCAACAACAACAACAACAACAAATTTCAGGCTTTCGTGAAATTGAAAACTGTGATGATTGGGAACTGCTCTAATGACCCCAAAGCCAGTGCCAGATGACTGTATGTCGATTGAAGGAGCAAGAGTAGATCAGACAGAGGCAGTTCTGATTAAAAAGAATGAGTGTCATTAAGAGTGCCTTTGGCAGATTTATAAGTTCTAAGTTTGATTTGTGTTTGATTTTATTCATTTTAAAATAACAGATTGTTTTTACGGTTTTCAGTTCATGTTTTTAAGACAGGGCAAATTTTTTTTTCTTCTTAAAATTTGAACCTTTTAAGTGGATTCACTTTGTTTCCTTTTTTTGTAACCAATTATACATATTATCTTTGGATAACAATTACATTAAAATGACATTTACAAAGTGGGGGCTAATAAACCAATCTAGAACTTTCTTTTGCATATTCAGCCTTAAAGAGATGACCTAAATGTACCCACTCTTCCACGTAATCTGTTACCGTTTTGGTAAAGTCTTCTGTTAAGAGGAAAGAATAGTATTAAATAAAGTAGTAATCTTCAGCATGACGCTCAATAGAATTTTAAACATTTTTAATTTTCAATATTTTTGTCTCCCACAGGCCAAAAACAGAGAACTACTCAAACAGGTTGCAGCATTGTCAAAGGGTAAAAAGTTTGACAAAAGTGGAAGTATACTAACGTCTCCTTGAACAAATAGTTATTTGTTTATTGTTTCTGCTTACAGTGTAAATTTAGGGGGTGGGGAATTCTGTGAAGCTCTAAAATTCTGTCTAGTGGAAAAATATTTTTGCACACCAAATGAATTGGCGTGTTTCCTATTCACTTTTGTAACTGATATACAGCATTTTTTAAGTTGTAAAACATTCAAATAAAACTTCAACTGGTTTGAAGTGAATTTTTAATTATTTGATATCGAGGAACTTTTTTGCCAGCAATAGTATTACACAGTGTAAAGGAGTGCGTGAGTAGTGCTCTCTGTAAAACTTAACATGCAATAATAGGGTAGGTGTGGTTGTTAGAACTCAGAGCATCAGGGGTTTTTTGTGGTGTTTTTCTGTTTTTCACTACGCTAATTTCAGGTAAACAGTTTTCAATTTAGAAATACAAAAACTTTTAAACAAAGTGGTGAACACTGGTTTTGGGGGGATAGTGTTTTAACTTTGCATCAACATGAATTTAGGAGAGAATCATGGTGCTTCTATTAAATGTAAACGTCAGAATATATGTAAATATGTTTTTAAAAGCTACATCATTAACATTAGTAACCTAGCATTTTCATTATTGGTATAGGAATTAATGTTCATTGTACAGTATGCAAGGTAAAATGTGTTGGTATTGTAAAGACTACTGTAGATTTTTACTTACAAGTGCCTTTTTGCCACCTAATGTTTTTATTTATAGGAATGCTGATCTTTTGTACATACAGTTTGTTTTAAAATCATGTTTAATAAATGTTTGTATATAAATGGATATGTACAGAACCTATTTCAAAAGGAAATCAAAGTTGCTAGTGAAATGTTTGAGGTTGTATTAAGAACTAACTGAAAATGCATATCAACTTTAGAAGATTTTTGTGGTTTGTTTCTCTGTTATAGGGAAGCTTTTGGTCATTGAATTCATTTAATTATGTCAAAATACTTCCCCAAAGATTTAACATAACTTTAAGTCACTTGCAATAGAGTTTTTATTTTTTATGTTATATGGATTCATACTCATATTTTTTGAGTTGTTTTGCTTTTTTTAATACAAATTCTTTAAAATTTATACCGTTTCTACAATGATATTATCTGCTTTCCCTATAATGGTTACGTAAGTGGTTATGTAAGCTAATATTTATGTATACCATACTTAATCTGTAAATTTAAGGCAAATCTGGAAAAAATTAAATAATTTTTTAATCCAGTCTGTGATTATCTTTGAATAAATTGGAATATTTAAGATCCAGGCACTATTTATAAGTAAATTATCTCAAAGACTTTAAAATTGCCTATAAAAGGTTAAGGTAGGGTGGAATAGATTATGCGAAGTTAATGACTAATTTTACTCTGATCCAGTGGTTTTCAGCCTGTAATGGAATTGACCTACTTAACAGCAGTTCACGTTTTGTAGCAGTACAGTCTGAAAGCCCCAGACATTGCTGAGTACACTGTCGAGAGTGAGAGAGTCTCTTCTGTTAGGAGTCTGTGGGCAAAGATGATTTGTTTCGAGTAAACTATTATCAAATGTAGCAGTTTTGGAGGGTTTTTTTAGACAAGCATTGATTATGTCATGAAAGATTGGCTTTCGTAAGAACACATGAATATAACAGTTCTTTTTAACATGATGTGTATTTCTGTAGACTTTTCCTATAAGTTCATTATAATGTGATACCAAATAATTCTTTGTTCAATTTGGAAGCATAGGGTAATTTTCAAGTGATAGTAAAAGATTCAATCAGAATCTTGGAAAAATTAAACCAGTTTATTTTTGAGATCTTCCTGTAATAAACTTAGTACTCTTAACCATGACAAATAATGCCTTAACATGATTTTGGTGTTTTTAGTATTTGCTAAATTCATAATATAGTCATTACCTTTCCTTAAAATTTATAATGTTTTATATACCGTGTGTCAGTCCGCAGTGGTCATTAATGGTTTTGCTATGTAGTAGTTCTTGGACCTTGTTGAAGATGCTACAAAACAAAGTCGCCCTCCCCTTTAGCTAACAGTAAAATGGAAAATTGTTTCCTTTTAATGTTTGCTAACATAAAAATTGAATTATCTTCTAACATTAAAAGTAATTTTCCATTTTAATGTTAGCTAACATTAACACTCTAAATAATTTAAGATTTGTAAATTCAAGGCTAAACCTTTTAGTGGCTTCACAGTGTTTAGTCCCAATTAAATACCCTCTTTTACTTCATGATCTTATTTTATAACTTAAACTTTTTGCAATTGTATAAACTAGCAATTGAGTCCCTGTCCTGGAGCTGTCGTGTTCTGACATGATGAGCTGATACTCTTCAGTGTGGACCTGTAAGGAGATACTTTGGTGTGCTGTATTGTGAGCTTAGCCTGTTTCCCACTATTAATTAGCATTTATCAGTGAGGGTCATTTTGGCTCCAAGTTATTTATGTTTTAATAGCCTGTGAATATTGCAGCCCTTTTTAGATAAAATTGGTTTAAATATGCATTCAGCAGTCAACATGGTAAGCTGTTCACATGTATAGACTATTGAAATACTGTACTTGTACACATCCGACTGTTGGCATTTTGTACTTTTTTCTAAATCCAGCATTTCACAATAAAAACTTATCAAAGGCTTTGTATTAGTTTCCTATTGCTGCTGTAACAAATTCCCACAAATTTAGTGGCTTAAAACAACACAAATTAATTTTCTTACAGTTCTGAAGTTGAAAATCAGATTCATTGGCCTGGAGTCAGGGTGTTGGTGAGGTTTGTTCCTTCTGGAGGCTGTACGGGACGATCTAATACTTGCCTTTTCCAGCTTCTAGAACTGCGTTCCTGGCGTTCTGGGAGCTTGTTGGTCCTCTGTGTTCAAAGTGACGTGTAGCATCTTAAAATCTCTGCTGCTGTCGTCGCACGGTCTCCTACCTGTGTCCTCCCTTACGAGGGCGTCACGGCCTCCTTCTGGATGAACGCGATCATTTTCCCATCTCCTGTCTTTAACTTACTGTCACACCTGCAAAGTCCTTATCGTCATTTAAGGTCATGTATTCACAGGTTCTAAGGATTAAGGTGTGGACTCCTTGAGGGACCATTATTATTTGGTCTACCATAGGCTTCATCTACAGTTTCTTTTTTTTTTTTTTTTTGAGACAGAGTCTCAGTATGTTGCCCTGGGTGGAGTGCTGTGGTATCACAGCTCACAGCAACCTCAAACTCTTGAGCTTAAGTGATTCTCTTCCCTCAACCTCCCAAGTAGCTGGAACTGTAAGTGCCCACCATACCTGGCTATTTTTGGTGGAGACAGGGTTTCACTCTGGCTCAGGCTGGTCAAGTGCACTAAAGCAATTCACCCACCTTGGTCTCCCAGAGTGCTGGGATTACAGGTGTGAGCCTCCACCCCTTGCCCTTCATGTACATTTGATGCCTTTTTTCGAGAGTGAAGTCCCCAAACAACAGGCGTGAGAGATTAGGCTTAATATTAGAAACTGTTTTCCTGTCTGTTCATTTAGACCACTTTAAGTACAAGTTATTTTCCTGGATATAATAATAGGGGTATAATTTTTTATTAAATTGAGCTATTTCAAAGCAACAATAAATCTAGCTATATATTACTAAGTTTTGAAAACTTTGGAACATGACTAGTACCAAGCTAGGATGTTTGGCAGATAAAAGTTCAAGGAATGATCCTTTAATTTATAGACTTACTCTTTATAGACTAGTACAATGCTAGGTTTGATAGGATAAAAGTCAAAGACATGATTCTCTTTAGAGATGAATTGGGAAAAAAGTCTAGAACTTACCTGTGGTATTGTAAGGTGCAGTAAAAAGGTAATAGCTTTTATCAGGAGCCTTCTAAGAATTGGAAAGGTATAGTCATTAGTTTCTCCAATGTAGTACGCATCAGAGTTTGCTGGAGAGCTTTCTGAGCACATACTGCTGAACCAGACCTTCGGTTTCTGATCAGTAGGTCTGGGTTGGAGCTCAAGAATTTGCATTTCTGAATTCTGAGGTCATCCCAGTGCTTCTGGCCCAGGGCCTACAATTTGTGAACCCAGTATTAGTATTTTCTGCATTTCTCATAAAAGCTATATATTAATTCTCCTGGGTGGGTAAGTAGAGTAGTAGATGAGTGGTAGTTTCTTTTTAGAAAACCATTCCACTTAAAGCAAGGATGAAATTATAATATCACCATTTTGCAACTTCTAGTGGAGATTAGCATGAGTTGTCAGATACTAAAAGTGCACAGAGACATTTTCTGATACCAAGTGTTTCTGATGGTGTAATGCACTATCTATGAAGTCATTTTTCCAAAAAGAATCAAAACCTAAATCTGATCAAGCATCCACCAGTTAACAGGAAATAGAAAAAGATCATGTTGAATGACACTGAAAGGATGCAATTGTTTCTTCAGTAAGTTGGAAGAAACTGTTGCATGAGAGATACTTAAATGATACCGATCAATCCCAGTAAATGGACCTGATTTCAATACTGAAACAAAAATCTTTTAAAAATACTTTAACATTAAGGAATTACTGTTAGCTTTTCAGATGTGGTAAGGTGTTGCAGCTGTGTTTGCGTTTTAGAGTCCTAGAGATACCTGCTAAAATATTTACAATGAAATGGCATGATGTTTGGTATTTTGTTCAAAGTAATATAGGGAGGAAGATGGATAGGAATATAAATGAAATAGGATTGGCTATGTGTTGATTTTTGGAACTTGGTGATATGGTGTTCATTATACTATATTGTTCAACTTGTGTTAAGTTGAAGGGTTTTTTGGTAATAAAAAGTAACATCACCACCATCACCCCTGCCAAATTAATGCTTACCTTAAATAGCACCTCACACATTCCCTGAAAATAGGGACAGTACAAAACATAGATTTTTAAAAAGACCACAATTCTCCCACCTGGGAATATTCCTGTTTCTTTACTCTGTGTGCTTCGGCGTGATCTGTGAATAGTGGCTGTGAACCTGCCACAGTGTGATTTGGGCTCCTATTTTCATCCTTTATTCCTCCCCATATCTAACAAAAGCAATCCCTACATTAAAAAAAAAAAAACCCAAAAAACTATTATCCTTTTAAAGCCATGCATATGAGTCGGTAGAGGCTAACATTTATTAGAAGACCATTATTTTTAAAATAAAATATGTTTCAAATCCAGCTCTCCCATTGGCTAAGCAGATGTCTTGGGAGTATACTTTTTAGTATTTCTGAGTTGAATTTCCTCTGTGTAATTATGTCATTATTAATGAGCATTAAGTAAGGTAAAGTATTAATATACAAAGCATTTTACATAATCTGACACAGTTCCAATATGATTAGATAATTATTTAATCAGAACTCTATAGAGAGGTAAAATGAAGGGTAACTGCCTCCAGCTTTCAAGCATGTCGCTTGATAGGCCTGATGACAGGAGAATATTAGGGTTGATTAATGGTTTCATAATTTTCAGCTTTGGAACCAATTTTCTTCTGTAAAATAAAATCTTAGTAGGAGTCTCAATACGTAAAGTAAGAGCTGAGATACTGGTTGAAGTTAGGGAAGAATCAGTATCACCTTCACAGTAGGACCCAGCAAGGCAGATTCTGACGGCTAAGCCTGATGATGCTGCCTGATTTAGACCCCACAGGCTGGGTGTGGTAACTCACGCCTGTAGTCTTAGCATTCTGGGAGGCCAGGGTGGGTGGATTGCTTGAGCTCAGGAGTTTGAGACCAGCCTGAGGAAGAGTGAGACACCATCTCTACCAAAAATAGAAAAACTATCTGGGTGGTGGTGCAGGCCTGTAGTCCCAGCTGCTTCGGAGGCTGAGGTAAGAGGACCTCTCGAGCCCAAGAATTTGAAGTTGCTGTGAGCTGCAATGTCATCTTGGCACTATACCCAGGGCAACAGATTAGAGACTGTATAAAAAAAAAAAAAAAAAAAATCACAGTTACTTGAATTATATCTGAGCTTTTGCTAATTTTGAGTTGCGAGTCTCAATAACATCTTACTGTGTGGACATTTGCATTCAGCGGGTGAATTTCCCATTACATCTCAGTATCAATTGAACATGTATCATGTGCTCAGTCTAGTCACTGTGCAAAGAGAAATCTTATTCTCAGGAGCTCACAATCCAGAAGAGACAGCCAGGTAAATAAATTACTACAGAAAATATACTAAAGTACAGATACTCACAAGTGCTTGATTCAGGGAGGGAGTTACCAAGATGAAACCATTTTGTGTAAAGAAAAACAATATGCAAAGGTTCACGACAGTCAGAAGCTCACATTTGCCTGTTTTCTCCCTGCCTTGCCGCTGGTCACTTTCTTTGGTGGTTCCTTCTGATATCCCTTCATAGAATGGGTGGAATTGCTCAGGGCTCTCAGCTGCTTATTTTACATCCTTATTTCAAACTTGTAAAAAACTTACATTCACTTCCTAGGCAAGCTTCTTAAGCATTATTTGTAACCCTAAGGACTCCAAAACTTACAGTAAATGGCTTACAGCTTTCCTCTAATTTCTAGACTTAACACTCAGCACAACTGTACATCTCCATTTGGGTGTCTAACGAAGGCTGTCATATTTAACTTGTCGAAAATTGTGTGCCCCTTATGCCCACGCCCCAGTCCAAACACCTGCCAGGCACCAGCCCCTCTTGCTGACTTTGTATCTCAGTAAAAACAACTCAATTCTAGCTGTTTAGGCCAAAATCCTTGATGTTATCCTTAACTCTCTCCTCTTTCTCTCACTACATGGCCATCTTTTCAAAATTTTCTTCAGCCTTATCTTCAAAACATGACTACTTTTTACCATCTCCATTCCTATTCTGTTGTCTGATGTCTGTTCCTAACAGAGAAGAGAGTGATCCTATTAAAAGATGTCGTATCATGTTATTCTACTCCAGTGGTTCTCAACTGAAGATAATTTTGCTCCCCTGAAGACATCAGGCAATGTCTAGAGACATTCTTTTATTATCACTACGGGTGGGCTTGGGGAGAATTACTTCTGGGATCAAATAGGTAGAGGGCAGGAATGCTTCTGCGCCCCTACAGGGCTAAGTACAGCCCTATGCAGTAAAGCCGTGATTTTTAATTGGTGTGCTGTGGCGCTCTGATGGAACATGAGAGGATCTTAGGTGAGCCATGAAAATTTTTAAAGGTCGTTAAGTTACTTTCAAAAGAAATTCGAAATACAGTTTTTTTTTTAACTTTTTTTTTTTTTTTTTTGAGACAGAGTCTCACTTGGTCACCTTGGCGGAGTGCTGTGGCATCTTAGCTCACATCAACCTCAAATTTTGGAGGTTCAATGGATCCTCTTGCCTCAGCCTCCCAAGTAGCTAGGACCACAGGTGCCCTCCACAATGCCTGCTATTTTTTTGGAGATGAGGTCTCACTCTGGCTCAGACTGGTCTCAAACCTGTGAGCTCAGGCAATGCACCCACCTTGGCCTCCCAAGTTCTGGGATTACAGGCATAACACACTGTGGCCTGCCCTCTTTTAACTTTTTTTGATCAACATAATTTAAGTGTGTTACAGAAGTTTAATTATAGATTCAAATGTGCTGTGAGATTAAAAAAGTTGACAAACACTGCCATAAAGGATGTAAGTGTAGCCCCAAATATCAATAGTGTCAGCAGAGGTTGAGAAGCT